AAAAAAAAATATATATATGTATTTCATGTAATGTTTTTTTCAAATGGCGGGCATTTGGATAGCTATCGTTAGCCATTAAGCTGACTTCGGCTTCACAGAAGGTAGGAACATTAAAGTGAGAAAAATTCGAGAGGGGGGGGGGCCAATAAAGTGATTCACAGATGTAGAAGAGACAGACAGACACAGAGGCAGAGAAAAGGTAAGATGAGTACTGTGGAAGGGGTCGAATATGACATACGATGGGGTGATGGTAGTTTGAAGTGAGAAGTCAACTGCCCGTTAATAGACTTTTTTGCCGTATGAGTATATGTTGCCCAGGGTGCACCACGTGGAGGTAAGTCTATCACACATCCCACTTCATGAAATATAAAGTATTTCTGATGTTCTAGATGGAATTTGAGTCTTCTGTTCCTAGTGTCTTCTGAATAGGAAGAGTTTTCGTGACTTGAATTCGACCGTGGCTTCTTGGTCACATATTCCACGACCCAGCTCTATTAATATTTACATTGATTTTAATGCCCCATTAAATCAATCTATATGAGCCTGGGTGGTGGGGTCCTTGATGGTTGGTGCAAAGGATAAATGGCCTGAATGGTTTGACCTACCAGGATGCTGGTTGCAGCAGCACTTTCAAGAAACTCATTTCCAATTCGACCATTTCAAAATCCTTGCTAATGCATTAACTATTCCCCATAGCTTTGAACAACATTAGTTGAACGGTCGGCTTTGGGCTTAAAGATGCTCTGATGCAAAGATATTCTAGTTATTGGTGCTCAATTTTGCACTTAATGAGTGCTGAATCAGTGCTTTTGCCCAAAAGGTTCTTGAAATTGCATTACCTACACGAATAAACTAGTTATGAGTTTCATTATCCTTGTCAGTACAAAATAACTGTAATTCGTGCTTTCTGAGGAAATCAATGAATGGAAGGAGATGATTCACTCTATTTCCACAATCATTTCACGAAATTTAGCCCCCGAGAGGTGAATTTTGGTCAGTAGCCTAGAAGCGATTTTCTGTTCCTTGAAAAATGGAATTTTAGGCAAGATGGAAAATAGTGTACAACGGTAGGTGAGTATGAATATGCATAAAATGCCGTAAAATCAAATCTACTCGATCGCTAAAAATTGGCTCCTTTCTTTGAGGGACTTGCATTAGGAATGACTTTTATAGACCAGCCCAAGCTTCTGCACACCCAAATGTTCAGTAACTCAGCGTATTGATCGCTCATCAACAAAGACTAAAGAAACCACCAAGAAATGCTCATCCTCACCGCTCGGGTTCCAATCCCTCAATACCGACGTCTTTTGGTTTTAATTCATGATTTCCGATTTATCGTCCTACGTAATTTGCCTTTCGCCACCCCAACCCCCTCCATTACTTTAGGGTTGGCATTCCGCACGCGAATCTACTTAAACCATTGCTTTCTTAGCCCGGAATAAAAGTAACTTGTTTGGTAATGGAATTCCTAAGCCTAACTTAGTCGAGATCATAGGGCAACTTTACTATCGCAATTAAAGCTAATTAGACTTCCCCCCCCCCCCCCCCACCTTTTTCTCCTTTTAGCCAACTCGTCTTATCAAATTCATAGCCTAGTGTCCTGATAGCAAAGTGCATCGTATGACCTAAATTTCGACCAAATGCGTTTCAATTTGGCCCATATAAACACACAAAAATGAGCCTACGACAACCATATCACTTCTGATCACCACTTTGGTTTAAGAATATGGCTTTGAGTTGTTGCAATATGTCATCTTTGTTTTCTTGACAAAAAAGTTATTTTAACTTTCAGGAACCAGGAAATTCAGGAAGTATGGTTTGCAAAAAGTTAGACTTAACAGATCAAATTGAGACAATATAACGATCCTTAGTTTGACCAGATTACCATAGCTAAAATAACTAAAGTTATCAATTCCTATCTCTTGTCCAAAGGGGTATGCAATAGACATACCTCCACGTGGTGCACCCTGGGCAACGCATACACATACGGCAAAAGTCTATAAAATGGCAGTTGACTTCTGACTTCAAACTAACCTGACCCGACTGCATATCATATCCACTTCAACAGTACTCACCTTTCCATTTCTCTGCCTTTTGTCTGTCTGTCTATTTACGTCTTTGAATCACTCTTCTCTCTCGAATTTTTCCTACTTGGCTGCTTCTCACCTCTGTGAAGGCCGAAGTCAATTAGAGGGCTAATGGTAACTATCATGAAGCCTGTCATTTGATATAGGTAAATATCTTGTCCACTTGGCGGCTGCTGCAATTAATGGTTGAAATGGCCCATTTCAGACATTCATCCTTAAAATGGGCTTATTCAAGTTGTTTTTTTTGGAAATACAATGCCACAAATTCTTGCAAACTGAGATAAGTAAAAGAAACAATATTTCAATATATCCTAAAAAACCGTTTGTCTGATTAGTATAGGTGTCACGACTGTTGTCCAGAAGAACGAATAGATCCGCGAATGGAGTGACGTGATTAAAATGTATCAAGACGTTCAATAGGAGAATCCATCCACACACAGAGAAATATCGGAATAATTTTATTTCTGTACAAATTTCTCCCTAACAACAGGACTCAAATATCTCGTGAGCTGAAAAGTGCACAGAAATAAAACAGCAACTCGGAATGACATAGTTGGATTTTATGTGATTTATTTACAGATACACTTCTTCAATACCTACATAACCTGCAAACAAATAGTTCTAAGATTGTACAAGATGGCGCTCATTTCAAGAGAGCTTTAATTTCAATTATCTTTTAAAAACCTCAATTAATCAATAAACACTGAATTTCATTGACAAGAGCCCTTCCAACTGCCCATGGGTAAAAAATAATGAATTTCTTGGTTTTTTTCCAGAAATAACTACTACCTGGAAATCGAGAATTTTCACCACTAAGAGACTCACAGTTTCATTAAATTTTAATTCGATTTCATGGTGTGTACATAAATATGAATATTTCTTTCGTTTTTACCATCGAGAATAACACTGTTAGGAACTAGGTGATAATTGCTTTCCCCATTTGACAAGACAACTGACAAATGTCGCGCTAATTACGTCTGCGTAGATCAAGAAAATTGCAACATTAGAACAACTCACTTAAACAGAGAATTGCCAAGCAGTAATCTGCATGCCCAATTTTCAGCAAACAAAATTTACACCCAATAAAAGTAATATTATAACTAATTATGAACGTACATGCGCAGTTGGAATAATTTTCCTGCAATTTATCTTTCAAATCGAAGTATTGCACATAACAGAGTGGAACCGCACTCTTCATACACAAAATTAAATGGAAAAAGAGATAGAGTGAGTGAGAGTAAACACATGATTAAAGCATGAGAGATAAAAGTAAAATGGAAAGGATTGTGGGTAGACATTAGTTTCTGTTGGGACAGGCAGTATGCGGGAGTTTAAGATCGGGAAGATTCTTTTTCTTCTTCGTGTTTAGGGGACCTTCACAAGGTGTCACTACGATCCTCGGTTTGTCCATTTCTGGAGGATGCAATTCATGTTCTTTCCCTAAAATAACCAAAAAAGCAAGTAATTACATGCCAAAAACTTTAAAAAAAATTACGATAAATTATAGTCGCTTTAGGTAAAATTAGAGTTTGTTAAAATTAATCAGAAAAATTTCAGCCTCTAATTTAAAACGAATGCCAAGATCGATAATTCCCATGACGCAAAATTTGTTATTTAATTACCAAAACGAGAACAATCGATATCTTAACTGATTAAATTTTAATTAAAACGGGTTTTACTTGGACCAAATGACCATAATGCTGAGGGATGGAGAGATAATAAAAATTTCCAAAAACTAAAAACCGTATTTCAATGTCTCTATTCACAAAAAATAAAGCATGAAAGAGCGTTCAATAAAAGACTAATAACATTTAATAGATCAAATTTAATTGCAGAGCAGTGAATTAAACTTAGAATATATTAAAAGTCATTAAAATAAGTATAAACAATAAATTTCTATTCTTAAGCAGAAATCAAACAATTTTCATGAAGTCTTAAATCTAAAGAAAGTAAATAGATAAATTATCAAATTTAACTCAGATGTGGTTATTTCATACGTTCTAATTTCACACAAAAAATAATTTTGCTTTACAACATTCAGAAGATTGAGCAGAGCAGCTATGTTACGGACGACCACCACAAATCGATCAAAAACAAAATCAATAAACCTTCATTCAATGAAAGAGACTGCATACTTTTTGAACTATGGGGCAACATTTAACTCAAAATATGAAGCAAAAAAGTAAGGATTTGTAAAGACGATGGCGATTTATCAGTGTCCCGACACTGAAATTAGGGGGCGAGATTTGGACGCATTAGCATTTTTGCCCTTAAGTCATTGCGAGTATTAAGCCAATTAAATTCATCCACGAAGTCAAAGCTCAAGAGTTCGAGTAACTTAGAGAGCAAGTCAAGTGTGCAGGATGGTAAATTCAATTAGGAATCAGAGGAATTTTGGCTTCCAGATGGGTCCCATGATATGCTGTTCCCCTGCGCAAAGTGAATGCTCGAAAAAATACTCACCCAATGATCTTGTGACTAACTTGACATGAAGTTCACAAATGTGGAAACAATTACGCTAGAAAACCATAAGTTTTCTGAGATTGAAAAGTGCAGTAAAGAAAGTTCGTCACGAAACTACAGATGTTATAACTGCACTAAAGATGCCGAGGACAACGTCAATGTGACGAAGAGTTTACCTGCAGTTGAATCTTGGGCTCGGATCGTATAGTATTGATTATACGGGTATTTCACTTTCCAAAATTCAAATTTCATTATTTATCCTCAGGATTGTAATAAACGCCTGTCTGCCTCGTCCATTACTTAGTGACTGAATTTTTTCTGACGCATCAAACTTTTGTGAAAATAAATCTATCATGCTGGACAAGATGGCCCAACATCTAAGATAAAGGTGAGAGAAATCGACGGATGAATTAGCCCCTCGAAATTAAATTTTGATGAATTAAGTGGGTAGCACCAACTAATACTCAAACGCTCGTGACTTGAAACCTTCTAGGTGGACAATTGGGTAGGAATTGGCCAAGCAACCACTCGTAATGTTTTCTTACGCCCCAAAGTTCAAGCCAGTTCAACCTGATGATGTGGGAGGGGGGAGGGGAAGAAGTAGGTATTTTCATGAGTAGGAACAACACTTATCTAGTGAACACAACAAAGCATTATTATGAAACCTTACAGAACGACACTGTGAAGTCTCACAGAGCTCTTTCCCTTTACTGTACTAGAATTCGTAAGCTAATCCATTCGCTTAATGATATGATCTTTAAGCAAACTATTATTATAGCCAAGTTAAATAGTTTAAACTAGTATGATACGGCTACCTTCTTCAGCATGTTTTAAAAAAGACTAGGTTCAACCAACTATTCCACTAAATAACATTTAAATATTTGTCAAATCGGATAGAGGACCAGACAAACTGGAAAATCATCATCAACGACATTCGTTACCCACTTGTCGTAAGCTATCAAAATTTCAAGGAATGAAGTTTGTAAGGACACGAAGTCACAATCACAATTGGAAATTTGAAGACGAAATCCCCCCCCCCTCTCCAACCCGCATTCCTTCTTTGGCAAATATAGTACGAAAGGTAAGTACCCTTTGTCCTAATAAGCCCTAATTGTTCAATTTGAAACGAACATACTTGGAATGGCCATATTCATTACATTTCACGTAATCCAAATATTATTTACCAGCCGACCTTTAAAATTAACCTTGAAATAAATTAATTAAATTTTCAACCGTTGAAAAGTAAAAGCGAAAAAATTTAAATTTAGAGACGTTAATTATAAGCAGACAGAAAGTCTATTTTTGACCATGTTTAAATTTATTTTCAGTGAATCAAATAATAAAAAATTTATTTGCCTAAAATTTTCCATAAAAGCCACAAATCCAGGCTGTTTAAAACAGTTAGCTAGATTAGCTCATGCAGCCAGAACATAGTGTGGATGGGATAGTTGAAATGTCCGCCAAATCAACTTATGAGTAAAACAAAATATTCCGACTGGAGTATTTGCATCAAACAAGGCGAATCCTAAAAAGAAAGCCTCTTAAAACGCTTCTCTCAACCGATTAGCAGGCCCTTGAATGTGCCATGACAGAGAGAGGCTTTCAATGATAATTCAGCAAAAGTAGCGTTTGGAATGGCTTTCAATCTTCAAACCCCACTCCTCCCCCCCCCCCCCCCCCCCCCCCCCCCCCCCCTCCTTCTCAGTACTCAATGTTTAATGTGTACCTTCAATGCGATACCTCGATTAAATGAACTTGATGAAAACGATAGTAGAAAAAAACCCAACAAAGGTCTTTGTGGGTTGTAATGAGAGAGAATGATTGCAAACATTAGCCAAAGGGGGGAATCACACCATAGTTGGTGCACTTCAAACTTCAAACAATCTTCACAATGGGACAAGAGATTAATGGAAGTAAGATTAGTACGGGAGTCAGGAGTATGTTCTAACGACGATAGGCATAAATTTTGGAAAAAACAAATCAAAAAATCAATTGAGTGAAAACCGGTAATGCTAACGCAGGTTTTGGTTTGTAGAAAGGACAAAACAATCAAGATTTTTTACAATTAGGCGTTTCAACAACCCCCCCCCCCTCTAAACAATTTACTGCTCATTTATAGCTCAATCAGCTTGTGACCATCCGGTAGTAGTCATCTCCATCTCAAAATCTCACCAAGGTGAGTACCTCCTTTTAAAAAACACTAGCACCAACCAAATCGTTTTAAACTATTTAAACTGGAATCTATAAAACTAAGTATCTGCTTTTCCGAATATATATTAGATATACTAACTTTATAAATACACAAACAACTACAAATAACAAAATATAAATAAATATCGATGGAAGATTTCTTTTAACACACTTCAGAAAAAGAGCATGGAATTCCAATCATCATTGTCACAATCCCCAACCAATCGGATTGTTCCTTTTCTACTCCTTTCATTCCCTTAGTGTCGAATGGGCATGTTGCTTGTAGGAAAAAAAACAAATTCTCACGTTCATGTTAACCACTCTATTAATGGGGCACAAATATGGAGGCTGTGTCATGGCGGATCGGATCTGCCTAAAGCTTCAATGAGAAGTGCCGTATTATTTACTTACTTAATAGTAATGGGACACTCTAATTATGAGTAACCGACCAACTTCCCAGATCCTGCGGATACTATTAAATATCTACATAAGGCAGTACGGTTTTGGATTCCTGAATTACTCGGGTTTCCCTCTGCCCCCCCCCCCTGCCATTTTCATTCAGACACTTTTGCTCCAATGAACGATAAAAAAACCTTTCTCCAATAACCCCCCCCTTCCCTCCCAACCACACTAAGGCCAACACTGCTAGTAAACCAGGATCACAAGATTAAGGGAAAGCATTTCAGATTACAAAACATTGCCTAATTAGATTAAAATGCTCCACAACAGTACATGCATGTTAAATTCAAAGAAAATGAAGAATGAGTCTGCCTGCAGGAAGTCGACGTTCGCGGTTTAAACCATTAAACAAAGACTTAAACACACATAAAGAATTTCAATAAAAATCAGAAAAATCTTCCACAGACAAAGAATACCAGAACTCATTCAATCCATCGATCAGTAGGTTCCAGCCAACTAACCACCAATATGAATCGTATAAAGTAGAACTAAGTTTTCTTCAGCAAACCCACCCTAGGAATCCCACCTGAATTCAACTAGACATTGCCTCACAGTCCAAATGATCTTCCTACGGATTAGCAGGTAAAAGATTCGGTAACGGATGCCTTTGGCAACTTGGAGGAAACTAGGGAAAGAGCGTGAAGTGGGAGGGAGGGGAGGGGGAGGGCAAATCGAAAAGAAAACAAGAAAATGTGTGCCACTAAAAAGAGTAAAAACTGAGTTGTTGTGATAAAGAGGACGCACTGAGGTATACTAGGAGGAGTTGATTTATTTTAATAAAAAAAAAGTAAAAAAATTATCATTTAACAAATGATATAGACATGTGAGTCAATTATCATGGGTTCGATAGAGGGAAAAAAAATGAACAACCCCCATGAACCTAGGAAAGAGATGAATTAAGACATTTGATTCACCTTTTGCATCACTTAATAAAAGCGATTGATTTTCTACTAAGATGCGTCTCGTAGCTAAATTTTGCTCATTTTCACTCTTCTAAGGTACAAGTAATTCAAATAAAAACGTTAAACCATTTGGGCAAATGAGAGAGCAGACAGACCCAACTAAAACGTTTTTTTTAGAAAAATTAAGCAACAAAGCTAATAGGAAAATAAAATGCAAATAAATTTGCAAGTGTGCACGTCTCATTAGAGGTCACAGCATCCATGTCCATGGGTGTGTGCATTTAATGGCACTACAGGAAGATCTCACTGGCTCATTCTAATCAATAAGAAGGATGCTAGAATAGGAGTTTCTAGTAAGAGAGCAAATACTACAAATGGATGAAGTCTTTAATAATGAAATTAGCATTACAAGAATGAACGATTCAACAGAATTGACTCCCCCTTTAACGCCGATAGCACCTGTTCGCTAAATTAGAATTAGAAAACTGCAAAACTCAGAGGCCATGGCAAGTGCGAATAATTTTAATCGGGTATTTAGGGATAGGATAAAATAAAAAAAATAAAAATATATAAAGGCATAACTAACCAGGCTCAAGTGAAGCTATTGCATGTAAAAGATCATAATTAATGAGTGGTTCGGCTTCTGGTCTTGGTTCCCAACCAACAGGCGGAGAAGCAGGTGGGCTAAGAAGGAATTGTTTCTCCGGTTTTGGAAGAGCAAGATGTTCAATACTGTCAATGTCATCCATCATATCATCATCCCCATCTGACACTGTCCGTAGATCATTGTAATCTCCCTCTTCGTCGGTCAAGTGGTCATCTTCAAAAGAGGTTGTATTTTGAGAACGGTGACTATGTCTTCGTTGACGTCTTTGCCGTGTTTCTTTATCATCGTAAAAAAAGCAGCGGATACCGGCCTCTTCCGTAGATTCGACTGAATGCCTAACAATGGCTTCTGGAAGATGCCAACCTTGAGTTTCAAGACGAGCAATGACGGCGGATTCTGGGGAGGACATCGTCACCAGGACACGGCGAAAACTTGGAAGATATATAAAAGAAGAAGTCTCATCATATGTGCGGAAAACCTGCTCGAATATACTCTAAAAGGACACGAATGCAAAATAAATAAATACTTACTTTTGCTTCAGCATTACTATAAACTTCAATGGGAACTTTAGTTACAATAAGACGGTTTGAAGTTGAAGAAGTCTGTTTACAAGCATCATTTGTGTCATCCATATCAGAAGACAGCTATTGCTTTGAGGACTTATTTATCAAAATAAAATGAACAAATTTCTCAAGAAAGCAAAAAGAGCGGCGTTTTCTGTGTAGCTAAAACACTCAACCTAAATATTTCACTATTTTTACATTACCAAATAAAATAGGAACCACTAACTATTAAATATTTTGTATCGAAATCTTTGGCTTAAATGGGGTAAATATCATGTATGACAATATTTTTTGATATTCTATTCTAGTTCATAATTTTGGTAATTCACTATAATTAATATTTTATTTCGCTATTTAAAAGTTCGAAAATCTTTTTCTTGCACTAAATATTTAATTGAAAGAAAAATGTCATCTTGTATTTACTACAAAAGTATGTGAATAAGTGTTAGGAATTTCTGTTTTCATGACTTTTATAAACACCGGATATGTTCTTAATTTAGGCGATTACACAGAATTTGTCTAGAGTCATTATACTTTGATTGAAATGTCCTTAGAAGATGATTACAAATTATCATTTTATATACTTGTTATAAAAAAGAAACGCATATTCCCTTTTCTAAATGTATTTTCAACATCCCCTATATATGAGAATGAATACATCTTATGCAAGAAAAGCTACGAAGATTAAACTTATAGTCTTATCCATTTCCCATTTTGACGATTTAATAACTATATTTGGAGACTTTCTAGGCAGCTTTCAAACCAAAATGGATGCTCAGTTTACCTTATTGATTAAAGCTATGTGTTGGCCACGTCTTAAAGTCTCCAATTATGTTTCTTCTTCGTTGGTGTTTGCAAATTCGAAAACGTCCCTAATTTTATCGATGAAGGTCTATGAAAAATTCGCAGTAAAGCCATCACGTCTAGAATTTGTATAAGGGGTTTGTCTAGGAATTTTCCTTCTGCCAGCTAAATCATTTAGAAATTTCAACAACCCTCCCCCATTTTCATCCATAGGATACATTAAACCAACAATTAATAAGCACAAAACAAGCCGACGATGCAGAATTTTAGTCAGTCCCAAAACTTGATCACTCACATCGATACACAAGTAACTAAATACTCGGAAAGCTTTACTAGCGTAGAAATTCGCTGCATGCTCGCTGGAGGTGCAGAATTGCGATAAGATCTAAAAAGGTCTTTCCCTTATATCTTTTGTGCTTTTTATACCTCTAAGTTCATTTTTACAGCTTTGCAGCGTTTTATAAGGCATTTGCTCTTTTACATTAATTTAAATTCTCTAGGACGCTCAATAATGTATCTAGTCTCTTTCATATCTTTAGCATGAGGTTTAGTGAGGTCACAAAATCAGCGGCTACAAGTATGCTCACAGTGTTATTTCGAACTAATTAGGATTTGAAGTAAGTTTTTAAATTCGGAAAATAGAATGTTTCCTTGAAGGTATTCATTTATTCGCGAACAGCTCCAAAAAGAATGCTGGGAACTGATTTCTTTGATTGTGTCCACAAAGAATATATATGCCTATTTGTGGAAATATACCTTTAGTCTGGGTCAAATATCCCGTAGAAAGTGGCAAGGGATTCGTTCGTTCAAGATTTTACTTCTCCGTTCGCCTCAGGAAAATGCTTACCGATGATTTTCGATGATCATTGAAGGAACTCATATTGAACCTGATCTTGATATCGAGGAAACCTTTCTGACACAGCGCTTCTATAATACTTGTTTTCCATAAAACATGAAGTAACTGGATATATGGCACTACAAGTCTAAATTAATCGTCATGCCTGAAGAGATATCGTGTCGACGATACACAAAATTGCCTTCTTTAAACCAAAAATTTCGATTTAGTTGTCATTATCGAGCTTTGCTTTTCGTTCTTTCAAATTCTCTTCAGTCATAGTTTAAGACCCTCAAGGACATTACTCAACAATGTTGGTTGTTGCAGCCAGGTCAGACCAATGACTTTTGTGTTGCCTTGATTCTTTTATCCTAAACATGGTCTTGTGAAGGAAAATGTGAGGGTTTAATACTTAGTGGTCTTGCTTACGCGTTGCAAAGCCTTTTGGCCCTTCAGAAGCCATTTTGAACATTCAACATCTCCCTTGCAACCCTATACACACTACCTCCATGACCCTCAACACCCATGGAACTTTCACGTCTTCACTACTGTTAATATGAACCAACCACCGAATCCTCCATAGTTATAAAAATCCCAGAAAATATATATTATATCATAAGAAAAAAACACTTCCACTTTGATTTGAAGTCAAATAAGCTTCTCGGACCAATGAACTCGACCACGAGCAGACTATCCAGTCGCCCCAACATCACCGCACCTTCATAATAACCAATAGCTTGCATGTCTGGGAATGACTTTGCTTTAGGCAAGATAAAAATATCGTTGACAGTCTCGCTTGTTCTACCATGAATTGTCGAAGAAACAAATAAACCAGGGTGTAATTGAACTTACTCGCCAACAAGCAAAGAGTATAATGGGCATGCTATTATCCATTAAAAAAGAATAATTGATTATGGAAGACTCACGACGCTCATATCTTATTGACACTGCGCAGAATCAAATGTTCCTCCATGAAAGGGCATTAAAAATACTTGGTATAAATTAGCAGGGGAAATAAGTACAAGGCACACTATATATGCATAAATCAAATGTATTTACAAATACAACGTTCATATAAAAGCGCCTAGTCAAAAATATCATCAATAGGATCAACCTCATGCAAAACTGTTTGCTTTGTCTTCCTCTTCTTTTTACCCTTCTTAGCCTCAACTCTGTCCATATACTTGACGTCCTTCTTCATTCCCAGAGCTTGTCGAATCTACAAAACAACAGGAAGAAGTCACGAAAGAAAGTTCAATTACAATTATTGGAGAAATGAGTGAAAAGCATTACCTTGTTAGGAGAAACGTAGTTGGGATTCTCCCAGATGACTGCTCCATTAAAACTCCCCAAAAAGATTTTCATCGGGAGAAGAGAAAAACGAGGACCTAAACAAGAAGCAGAGAATTAAAACAGTAAAAACGTGAAAAGTTAAAACAGATATTTGATGAAATACGAACCAATTTCTGAAAGGGCACCGCTTTCCTCAACGATTTGATAAACACGAAACCAGATACGACCATTGAAGTAATTAAAAGAAATGACCTTATCTGTGTAAGGTTGCATTTTTGGGTGGAAATTGGGGGTTCCAAATGTCGAAATCATTATTTCCTTTAAGAGTTGGAGATGCGGCGATTCAACATCGTCAAAGTTCTTATCAAAGGAGAGAATAGGGCGACTGTAACGAAGAGCGTTTCCAGTCATCTTCAATTCAGATGTGGTGCTAATGTTTTCAACCAAGAACTTTGCTGAAGGACCAGCTGGGACACAACTGAGCCAAAGATAAAGATCATGCTTTTTGCGACCCTCGAAGAAAACCACTTTAGATGCATTACGAATGTCAGCAACCTCGTTGATTAAGGGTAGGTCATGCTTAGCATCCATCTTAGTTTCAGACTTTGAATGAGGCATCATGGTAATAAGATCCTTCATAATGTGACGACCCAAAAACGAAACACCACGAGAGCACAAAACTAAAGTTCTTTCACGATTAGTCCATTGCTTCTTTTTAGTCGGCTTGATATCCGATTTTCTGATGGCCGGTAATATTTTAGCTATAAAAACTAATAGCGAATAGTGTATCAACTTACGTCTTTTAGTTTGCTGCAATTTTTCTGCTTTGGAGAGATTTTCAGATGCTAAAGAATTAGTAATAGGACATATTTTACAAACCTTGACGCTTTGCCATGCTGATCCTCAAGGTCCGAACGTGAATACTGAACTATGCAACCTCAAATTTGCCGCATCTACTGCGGTAAAGTAAAACGAAAATAATTATGACATGAGGTAAAAATAAAATTTCATATTTTATATTATTTACAATTAGATGCTTATATTAAATGGAATTTAAAGAGTTTGTACTTTTTTTTGATGACCCTACGAATTAAATATACTTCGATTAAGTGCATATTTTGTTTGAAAGATCAATTAATTTGGAAGTTAGATTTAAGGGTTTGTGCCCAGGAATATATTCATGAAATAGTTGCACTAATACCTGCTTTTCTTAAAGAATTGTAAAATTTTAAATATGCAGTTAGCCATTTTTAATTAATCATCTAATTTCTTTTTGTTGCATAAATTCTGCTAAATATAGCATTTTATATCATTTCGTTAAATTAAAGACTTCGTTACTGGAACCTCCTTACGTATTGCGGTCTCAAAGTATTGTTTTTTGTTCGACACTTTAACTCCATTGTAATTATTAATATTATGCAATCTGCATATGGTTACCTATGTCAAATGCAATTTTTATTAAATTCTGGCAATTCCGTCGTTGCCCAAATTTTCAGCAGTGCAATTCTGGTCCTTGCAATACCACTGCACCTCCTCTAGATCGGCAAGAACGATGACCCGACAGCAATCGCTTGCAAGAAATATCAAACTAATCCTCAACTCACACAAGAAAAATAATTAATACAGTAGATTTAATCTTTTTCGAGAAATCAAGAGGAATGAATGCCGAAAGACACGTATTCCTTCAAATCAATAAACATACAGTCAGACACGAGGCAAGGGGTGTCAGTTTATCTACCAGAGGGAAAGGGGAAGGGGGGGGGAGGGGTGTGGTAGGGCAATCAAACGAAAAAGATAACAAAGAATATAAAGAAGGCGAGTAGTATTCCGAATACTTTAAACATTAACCAACGATTTGAGGAAACTGACCGAAGATATTTCACCAGTTCAGCATGTCCGGAATCTATTGATACCAAGGACTGCTCCACATTGGCGTCTATTCGTTCAACTCTTTCCTCCTGTTCATGAACCTAGAAAAAAGCATAAGCGTTAACATATTAGCGGCCCTATTAATTGGTGCAAATAAGGAATAAACGAATCATCTATGCTCATACGGCTTATCAATAAGACACATCAATAGCAAGGTTCTAAGTTCTGTGGGATAATATAACAAACTGCGTTTCAGAGGAACTTAAGATGACGCTTCCATAGATAAAAGAAGTAAGAAGTTTTAGTTCACATTAATAAAATGAATTAAGTGCAAATAATAGATATTGCTGAGGGTTTGCCGCAATAAACTCTTAGAGAGTTGAGATTGAGACCAATCCAAAAAAATAACTTCAAATTGCAAAGATCAAGGGAAATTCTTGACATTGTGCATGACTTCTATAAATAGTCAAATAGCAAGCACAAAGAAAACATACCATAGTCGCAAGTTGCTGGAATATCTCCCCCAATTCCACGATTGTGTGTTCGATAGTCCGCACTGTGTCATGTCGAGCAGTTAAATAGGCATCAGTCTGATCTTGATACATCATCAGTTGTGTTTGACTGGGATCTGGCAACAGGAGATTAGCGGTCCCACTGGGTTCCACGCTGTTTTCCTGTCGCGCTTTCTGTTCATCCTACACAAATAAATTAAGTGTTAAGGGTGTTCAGCAGTCCCGATTATTAAGGGATCCCGGCCCTAACATCAGTGAAGCATTCAGGGCACATACTCCTTCCAGTGACTCAAAATATTGAATTGTGGGGTGCGTGATAGACTTACCTCCACGTGGTGCACCCTGGGCAACGTATACTCATACGGCAAAAAAGTCTACTAACTGGCAGTTGACTTCTCACTTCAAACTACCATGACCCCACAGTAGGTCAAATTCGACCAGTTCAACAGTAATCATCTCACCCTTTCCTCCGCATTTGTATCCAACTGTCACTTTATATCTGTGAATCACTCTTCTTTCACCCTTCTCGAATTTTTACCATTATGATGTTCCTCCCCTCTGTGAAGTCCGAAGTCACCTTAAGGGTTAATGATAACTATCAAAAGGCCTGCCATTTGAAATAAATAAATATTGAATTGTTCATATGAAAAAAAGTTATCTACCACATTCTCAGACCAACGAAGGGGATGGGAGTGGGACTACAGAGAGTGGAGCTGAGGAGAAGCAGGATAATTGTGACCAAGTTGTCAAGATGATCACTACCAACCCCCCCCCCCCCACCCACCATTAGTAATGAATGAATCAATAACGATCTAGTGAGTAGGATTCATAACTCCGGCACAGACGAAGTTCAACTTCCCAACAGAAGTTCACTTTGTGTGATGTTAGTAAGACGGCCTCCACAGTATGACGACTTGGTATCTATGGCAGTAGGACATGAACTATCTGGTTGAACAAATTTAGTGAAGCAAGGAGCAGTAAAATTCCTCATTTAAATGATCACAATTTGGGGTGCCCGATAGACTTACCTCTACGTGATGCACCCTGGGCAACGTATACTTATGCGGCAAGAAAGTCTATTAACCGACACTTGACTTCTGACATCAAACTACTATGTATGTCATATTCCACCACTTCCACAGTACTCACCTCACCTTACCATTTTTTCTATCTTTGTGTCTGTCGCTTTTACATCTGTGAAGCCCGCAGTCAACTAAAGGGCTAATGATAACTATCATAAAGCCCGCCATTTTATATAAATAAATGCTCACCGTATAAACCTTCTAAACGTTAAATGCAACCCAGGTTGGAAATCGAAAATGGGCTATAAGATGTTGGGCATTTGGCACAGCATTAGCTGAGATTTCAATAGCCAAAAGGGAGTTTTGCATGACATATTAGTTATCTTATATTTAGGACAGCGCACAGAAGAGGTTTTTTCGACAGGCGAGATGCAGTAAATATAACAAACCGCAGTAATTCATAGAACAATTTGCAATACCGTTTAGAAATCGGTTCGCAAAACTATGAAAGAGGAGTAACAGAATAGATCCCGAGAAATTAGAATCTAGACTCCAAGCAGTGGGATTCGGCATTCTGCTCACTGACTACGTGCACCATCTGATAATGAACCCGTGAAATCTGACATGATATATATATATATATGCTGGTAGGTATGTTAGAGCATAGAAGCATTTTACCGCAGAAGATAGACAGTTCCAGTGGAATTGAAAATCAATTACCACGCAAATGACACTTAATTAATGGAAGGAAATCGTTGATTAGAGATCGACTAAGATGGATAAAATTATTCCCAAAAATCTTGAGCTCAAGAAGTCACGGGAATGGTGAGTGTTGTATAATTTACCCCCCCCCCCCCACCCAACAAGCCTCTTTCCTCCTCCTTAAAATAACAAGTCACACGTACTGAAAGTTGAACAATAATTGCACAAAGTCGATCTCATTCAATCAATAAGAATACGCTACAACAAGAACTACAGGAGAGGAACTATCTGTAAAATAACAACTCAAATTTGGCATTTTCGATAGAAAAATTCTGCCGAGAGGACTATTGTTCTATATTTTAATACCAGATACAACCCCCCCCCCCTATTATCCAACCAAATTCAAAATGATCGCAAACAAGTGATCTGACTGATAATGTAAAAAACTTGCCTATTAACACGTGTTTACATCAGGTGGTGGGTTAACCAGACCGCAAAAATGGAAGCATAATCAAGCCATTCACCATGAGCGAACACAGCTTGTTGAAGTGATTAAATAACAGCCACCATAATGAAACAACAGGTCAATTATCATGGGGGGGGGGAGAGGGGAAGGGTGGTGGTTATTGACAAAATTTCACTCAGTAGTACCTCTAATGATGAATCATGGAACATGAATTAGGGAATATCAAGTGTTCAATAAGGGAACACACTGTACAACCCGATAGATTCAAGACACTTCAAATATTCAAACATGCCATCAAGTAGCTTGCCTTGCTGGAATGAGAATTCTACAATTGATACCCAAATCATAAAATAACTGAAAAGAGGTGAGGCAGAGATAGAAGGGACTTATCTTGAACCTTAAAGAAATGTAAGCGAAGAGGTGAGAAAATTGAAACAAATGAGATAAAAAAGGTGTTTTCAATGATAAGGAGATTTGTTTGCTTAAAATTGACTTCACTTAATTACAAAAACTCCAATAATTACCAAAAAGATCAATCAATATTTAATAGAAACCGTAAAAATTAACAATAAATCTAAGAGTATGATGGGATTGCATATTTTAGGGCATTTTAATGCTCTATTTACCTCAGTCTTTTTAGTAATAGTGTAGCAACTTAGAAACAACCATACACAATAGCATTTTTGGTATTTTTTTGATGCAATGCAGATAATATTGTAACACTGTTACTTATGTGTAGCGACCAATGCGCATGACTGCCACGTTAGAAGCCATGTGACCGACGTTAATCGGTTCACATTTAGTGACATTGATGGCCAATAGGGGGCGTGCGATAGACTTACCTCCATGTGGTGCACCCTCGGCAACGTATTCTCATACAGCAAAAAAGTCAATTTCCCGGCAGTTGACTTCTCACTTCAAATTACCATCACCAACTATATGTCGTATTTGACTACTTCCACAGTGCTCACCTCACCTTGTTTCTACCTTTGTGTCTGTCTCTTTTACATCTTTGAAACACTCTTCTCTTCCCGCTCGACTTTTTTCCCTTCGATGTTCCTTCCTCTCTGTGAAGCTTGAAGGCAACTAAAGGGCTAATGATAACTATCAAAACGCTTGCCATTTGATATAAATAAATAATTGATGGCCAATAGCGTTAGTCAATTCGATTCAACAAGTAGAGGGTTAAATGGTGGGTATCACATCAAAGCGACTTCTGAACGCGAAATGTATTTCGAGCCTACTCTCCCANCCCCCCCCCCCCCCCCCCCCCCCCCCCACCCCAGACAAAGGATGTCGTAAGTTGATGGCTCGCCTTACAGGAAAGAAGTTGAGTTCATTCAATGGTGCAAGAAAGTCAAAATAGCACTAGACCGAAATGATGTCAAAACATCTATTCGTACTTTTCAAATACCAGTTGCAGTGACCCCAGAAATTTCAACTTAAAAGTATTTTGCCTTGGAAACCGTTTCTTCTCCTTCTGTGGCATATTAAAGTGACCAGGGCATAAAAGAATCACCCAAAAATCTCGAAAGCAAACACGAAAAGTGTGCTAGAGAACACAGATCGATATGGCAAAAGTAACTATAGTCCTAAAGAGAAAGGTGATAATTCAGGAAAAAATTGAAGACTGCTGACATTCTGACTCCAAAACACTCGCTAACTTATTGATTACACATTTCATCACTTGCTGAAAATTTTTTGTCAAAATCGTATAAGTAAGGATAATTGCAGTAAAATGAATCCTTGTAGAACATGAAAGATTCATTACGCCTGGAAAATGCGATCGATGGAAATTCAGTCAAATGAGAAAAGGAAAGGACAATTTCATTGAAAAGGGGCCCAAAGCAAGCAGACACAGTTTGTTGTGTATAAAATATGCACGTTTTATGAGAATAAACAATGAATGAATTGCGTTCCAACTGAATGATATAATAATGTATTGGAAAAATTGCTACTTATTCGTGCTGAAAGAGAACGAATTGACTAAAAAGCGTATTTACAAAGATGATGTAATAAAAAAAACACGTTTAAATGGCAAAAATTGCAGGAAAAAATGACAAGAACGGCACCAATGAAACAGGAAATGAAAGCAATATAGGGATATATTTGAGATTCGAATAACTGGGAACTGACTGAAAAAAAATGATTGATATACAACTGTGTTGGTAACAAGGAAGAAAGAAGATTCGTAGTCATTAAAAAAAGATCAGATTTTCGGCAGTTCAATTTGAAAGAAACAAGATAAATGCACTAAAAGCCCCCCTCCCCCCCCAAGTTAGTTCACTTAAAGCATAAATACACCAATTGAGTAGGCTGGAACTTAATGCAAGTAAAATACGCACACTCTCCTGAAAATTACACAAGTGCAAAAAACAAGAGTTTAAATTCAGCACTTAATTTAGGCAGAGAATATGCATGGAGGGCATTTGACTGGAAGCAAATGTTCGCCTAATCTGTTCTACCTGCTGCCAGGGTTGCCGCCCGCTGAACAAGCGAATGACACACAGAGGCCAATCAACAAAGTATAAGAATTTGGCCTCTCCGTCACAACCTCGCTTTCACTCATTATGCGTGGAAAATTATTAACTATTCCTCAAAATTTTGTTTTCAGCTCCCCGGTGAGATATCCAAGCCTTTACGCAGCGTAGACAAATGGTTACATCTCAGGATTAGAAAGTCGCAAAGAAATACATTATTTACAGGTCATTTCTTTGGTGAGATTGAAATGTAGAAGTCATATCGATAACCCCCCAAAACCATTAAATAAAATGCAGAAAAATAGGCTTCCGGAATTTTGAAGAAAATATTGAGGCCTGCATTGAAACATCACATCTCCTCAAATCCAATAATTAAGAAATTAAACAACAGAACGAACCTGAAGAAGAATTGAAGGAACTATTGTAGCGGCAGAGACACTGGTCTTTGTTCCACCATCTATGCGTTCAGGAGGCTCAAATGCCATATTAACTACTCCATTCGAGGGTTTCTGTTGAGCTGAGAAAGCATTTTTCCTAGCAGCCTGATCTCTCAGAGTTTTAGATCGCTGTTCGAGAACTCGTTTAAAGCGCTCTGACATTCCTGCAAGCCGAGACTGCAGACTCATAAGAATTGATGAATTATGTCGAGCGGATTGCTGATGGTTGTATGAGTTAGAATTGGCTTTTGATAAATTAGAAAGGTCCGCAATTCTATGATTAAGATTAGCAATATCTTCACGAATAAGGAGGGTGATATGTTGAACTTCTGCTGAATGATCATCAAAAAGGGTTCGTTGCCGAGCAAGGGTGGAAAGGCTTTCAAGACGGCTACAAGTGACAGCGAGATCTGAACTGATTAGAGCAGCCATTTGAGCGAATTGAGAAGACTTTGAGATGGAGGAATTCGGGTGGGAATGAGAAGCCAGTTCATCTGATGAGGATTTAAGTAAAGAAACATTTTCGCCACGCGGTATGTGGTCATTAGAGGAGGAGCGAAGGCTGTTAACTAACCGGAGAAAATCCCCAGTTCGATCGGCCCCAAAGTTCATGCTAAACTATATAGACGGTAAAATGGGATGAATCTTATAGAGCATTAATAATCTACGAAGAATATGTTTAATAATATGTAACTGAAAAGGAATGTGCTATCTAAATAAATATAGGAAAGCTGTATGATTATAGCATAAGCATAAAATTTTTAAAAAAGATTAATAGGCTTTTGAAGGCGTTACAAAACAATCATGATATTCTTTAGAAAAAATAATGAACACCAACCAGTAATATTATTTTAAGCAAAGCGGCATTGTATTGACACATAAAAATATAATAAAGATTAACTGTTTTAGTAAAATTTAAAATTATACATCAACATTTTTTAATAATTATCTTCTTTTATATTCTCTTGATGTGCAGGATATGTTGAAAATGAATTGCTCTGAAACGATTAATTTTGCTTTCTTCGGTTCTCTTCTTTTACTCAATTTCATTTTAACGTTATTTGGAAGCAGTTTGGTGGAATGCAGTTGAAATGTCAGCTTAATTATTAGGCTTCATTAAGCATAAAAATCATAAAAATATGCTATGTGGGCATTTAATCCTTATCACTTTGATTACAGTGAATACAAAGTTGACTGCCTTATAATCACTTTATGTATGATCAAACTCTAGAAAAGTAATGGCCACTAAGTCATTCAATTTTATTTTATTTTATTCTATTTTGAAAGTTGAAGGTGCTGAAATTGACAATTCTAACTTCATTGTTGAATTCCATTTTTTTAAATGTAGCAAGTAGCCTGTGCACAATTAAAATTGGTCAGACCTCTACATTTGATGATCAGTCTCTCCAATTTACCAAAGGTCATTTCGGCTGATAGAGGTAATCTTTTTGGTTACATATCTATTTTTTTATATCTAAGCCTTGACATTGCTTCCTGAGATCTCTCATATTCTCTTATCCGGCGGTGTTATCGCAGTACCTACCGACACTATATATGGCCTCGCTTGTTGTAGTCTTTCATCAACTGGTATAAAGCGTATTTATGAAATCAAAGGTCGTGATACGTCTAAACCTTTAGCAATTTGTCTTGATAAGGTTTGTCAGTTTTCTGTACATTTTATTCCATTTAATAATTCAGGCTTCTAGTCTTCCACAATGGAGCAACACCCAGGGTATTGATCAGAAACTTTTTTCAGCACTTCTTCCTGGTCCCGTTACAGTTTTACTACCAAGATTAAATGACGATCCTCTCAATTCCCTCTTAAATCCTAATGTTAAAGAGATTGGCATTCGTGTCCCTGATTGTCCACTTGTTTGCCGAATATCTGAAGCTCTGGCAATAGCTTCTAGCCTAAACTTCTCCTCACGTGGTGGTGATATACACGAGGGAGAGCGAACTGATTTATTCACAGCCATCCCACTTGTTTTAACCTCGGCAAATCTTAGCGGTTATCCATCTACACTTTCTCCAGAGGTGAGTTTATGTTTTCATCCATTTTTTTTAATATTGGGGAAATCAGTTTAGTCACTAGCATTCAAGCAAAATGTATGAAGGTCATAAAAGGAAATTGCTTTTCAACTACCCTGTTTGAGCCTTTCCTTTGTCTAAGTTAAGTGTTTCGTGCAGTCATTAGTCTAGAAATGTTTGCAAATGGTTACTCCTTTTAACCATTACGAAATGACCACATCAAAATATTTTACAAAGTAGTTTTGCCATTCAGACAGACTCAAGTATGTCATCCGTACTCTCTACTTGACGAGTTAAACGGGAGGGCTTCGATTGTTAGTCATAGTTTTGAGCCTATTGATTCCACTATTTAGCGTCATGAAATTCGATTGTCGTGAAGTCTCAACTGAAATGTCTATCAAGTTCCTATTCCTAACATCCAGCTCCTATTTAAGTTGTAATTAGTATTTTCTTTGTCCGTGTTACCTGGTAGACATTTTCTGGTTACCGTTTTTCGTAAACCCAGTTTTGCATTCATTCATCTTTGCATTGTCACATTTCACGAATCCCAATGTGCATGCTTAAGAGTTTTGGTGGCAATCCTCATCTTCATGGATGCTCTAAGTCAAATTGGCTGAGATTATTTCTGATATAACATGTAAGAATTTGAAGTCCTGTGGATCACTTTCCAACTTTTCTTCAAAGGAATTTTCAGATCTTTGGCCGAAGTTGGACCTCGTGATAGATGGTGGTAGAATCCGCAATGTGGATGACCCATCTATCTCTCGAACGGGCTCCACAGTCATTGACCTCTCTCCGACCGTAAGATCCAACTTTCAGAAACTTCACTACCGAATTCTTCGAGACGGAAGGTAGGCTCCTGCTTTCAGAATGATATATGTCATTTTTAGTAAAAATATTACACATTATAATAATATTTGGATAGGCGGTTGCGCAAATGCATCAGAGAGGATTTAGTTTGGCGGAAGCGCAATGATATTCAATCTATTGAATATGAGTTAATTGCCTTTCCACTTTTCTAAAAGATATCTTCTAAGCATTCGAATTGAATCTGATGTCCTAATTAGGACTTACAACTAACAGGCTGGTTACCCTTGGCGATATTTGCTCCTGGGGTGGTTTGGCCTTAACAATTCGCGTAGATTTGACGCTTCCATTATTTTTGCTTGAATTTCCTTTTGGTGCTCTCTATACCATGTAGAAACGGGATTTAACGCTATTAGCTGTTTTGTCCATTGGGGTGGCTTTTCAGTGACCTTGATTATGCTTTCTTTCCTGCGGCTCGAATGGAGCTTTAGGTTAAGGGAGAACTTACAAGGCCTTTTTCGGACAATCGTTGAATCTCCTAAACTAGTTCTTCACGTGACATGGCACACTGAGGCCTCTTTCTTAGTTGTAATTGTGCAATAGATGCTGTAATTAACGATGGATGGTTCTTTACAGTTCTCGATAAGCCCAGCTTGATTGATGACGTTTTTTCTCTTTCCATTTTTTACCATCTTTTAGCTTCTAAATATTTTTCATTCCAGCGCCCTTGAGCAAACGGAAAAAACGTTGCAGGCGTTCGGATACTGCAGGGAGCCAATGGACTAGTCTTTCCACTTTTATATATCAGCATTCCTTTTTAAATAAATCAATTTGTCTATTTCTTTTGTATGATAATTAAGCAGTTTATTTATGTGCTACTTAGAATTTGTTATTAGTTGGTGGTCATCGTATAGGTAATCTGCGTGGTTAACATGTAATTACTGTGCTAACTCCGTCACAATGGTGCTAAAATAAATCCAAACTTTGGGTTTTTTTAAGTCCCAAACTCTTGCTTGATTAACAACAGAAATTGTGCTAATGTTAAATAGAGAACTAACTTAGCCCAAATCATCGCACTAATTGCCTTTTCAAGTATTAAACACGGTACACGAAATATCCTAATTGGCAGCAATAGAAGAGGGATATGCATATCGAAATAAGCAGTTTATGAAAGGCAGGCTGGAGGTAGTTTCGTGCATAGAGTGGACCGATGGGAAAGCTGAGTCACACAGGCTCTGAACGCTCCGATGCTCAGCTTCATGTTTCCCTCCAGTTAACGGCAAGGTTACTTTGTTTCTCTCTAGCCTTTGTGAATCATTGTCCTTGTTTCCATTTCTCGTTTATCTTAAAACCTTTCTGTTCTTTCATTTTTACCTGCTTATCTTGTAGCGGATTGCTACTTTATTAAAGCCTGGCTGACTCAGAAATCTCTATGGCAGATCCTTCTACATCTAGCTAGACTCCCAGAACTAGCTAAGCTATAGCCCAGCTATAAAGGAAACAGACGTGTAGCACGGAGCACGTTTATTCAGTGAGTATATTACCGATAAAGTGTGTACACGCAGGGAGCTACTCGTGATCAGGATGGGGGATTAGGTTAAACAGAGGTTAATGATTGGTCACTGTTTGTACGGTCGCTGCACACAGAGTTGTACGGCCGCACCTCCCAATCCTGGCGAGCAGACATGCAGGCATA